TTGCTGCTCTTCCTGATGATTCTTGTGTTCTCAATTTCATTTGATTCTGTGCTAATTTTGTTTTTTTCTTTTTTTCTACGAGGTGTGGGTTTTGTTAAAAATTTTTGAATTGATATTTATGAGGAATATTAGTGTGCAAGTATCTTTTGTCTTATCATCCTTTTTTTTTTTTTTTTTTTTTTAGTGTAATTATTTTATTTACAGAATATATTGAAAAAGTATATCATCACATTTAGTCCAAATGCAACTAACAATAAGTAGATTTAGATCTGCTTGGTAAACTTTCCATACCTTTATAAAATAAAGCTATCCAATTTAGTTATGAAACAGTTAATTGTCTGTGTTCATGATAATTACCAGAAATGGCAAACAGAGAAACACTTATCATGGGCATTCAGAATTTTTTGAAGATTACCATCAGTAGCTATGGTGAATAAATCTTCCCTCCCCAATCCCACTATTCTCCCATCCCAACCCCGACCCCACAGTTGATTATAAAATAAAATACACATTTGAGGGATAAACTTTTCTTTTTTAAACATCACAATATAAAATGTTAACTGGTGATGTAGTAAACCAATATGATAATTTGTCTTATGTGCCTTCCTAGCATTACCATCATATAGGTAGTTTCCATGTAGTCAAATTATGAACAGCATTTTTCTATAATAAGGCATATTCCATGCACATCATTTAAGAAAAGTAAATTGGAAAATAGAAACGATTTATGGAGCGTGAAACCTACATGTATGTAATGTAAGCATATGTTTTGTATGTATTTTTCTCTATATACAGAATAATAAATATCACTGTATCTAATGCAAGTAATTCACTTCCAGGAGTGTGCATATTAATTAATCAAACTAATCCCATCAATAAATTATCACCTTGCGTTTATCAAGACTCCATTACCACATATGGAATGTAGACAGGTTAGGTTCTACATGACATGACCTTCTGCTTTACAAAATGGGTCTGATCTCTGTGTTTTTACAGAGATGGAGAAGTCAGCAAAGCATCTACCAAAGGTCTCTTATTTATATGAATATATTTGTGCATAAACACAATGAAGATTTTGAAGTGTGCAGTCACCTTGACTTCAATGAATACTATTCCTTGCCTCCATTCCACACTTCAATATTTTTCACAGAGGACTAACAGAAAAAGGCATTTTGCATTTTAAGTTGTTATAGCAACTAACAAAAGCATTTCGGTTTGACTCATGTGGGATCCTTTACTGTTCTGCTGAAGTCTCTGTTAAGAGGCAAATAGAAGCATTGCTTACATTTTCTATATATATTCTGCAGCATACCTTTTAAACTGTCCCAAATTAGAAGAACTAAAAAACAAATCCATGACTAGACACTAGAAATACTGAAGCACATGTCAAACTCAAACAGCCTGACTTGCTTTAACAAGTAATATGGTGTATTCTCTCAGAAATTTCAGGAAAACATGAGCTCACTTTATCCTATCCATTCTACCAGAAAGTCGTCTAAACCCACAAGATTTGTACAGATGTTTCTGTTTGGAGGCAGGCAGAACCAATTTAGGAATTACCAAATTCTGTTTGTATAAACTGAAAAAATCTGTAGCACACAGGACACAACAGAAAAATGTAAATAGAAATATGAAAGTGTCTGGGGGGGAAATAAAGCTTTTTACTCTTTCTCCATCAGAACTAAGGTTCTTCACGGGAGTAAGACTATAGAAAAGGCAAAATCACAGGTTAACAGCTCTCAGTTATTAAGAAACATACGACAACATGAGTAATTACAGAAATAAGCAGCAACGAATTCTGTGATTATACAAAGCAAGAACATCAAAATTTCTGGTATTGAGCCTAAAGCAAGAATCAAAAATTCTGATTTAGGGACTGGTAATGAGGATAAAAATGGTGCTAAAAACTGGAGGATTAATTGAAGGACTCTTTTTAAGGCAATATGATTAGAGATTCTCTCCTTCCTTTCCATGGAGCTGGGGGACTGGTCCTTCCCTGTTCCAGTGGAAGACCAGACAGCCTTTCCCTGGAGAGAAGAGTCACTTACCTGGAATACGGCACATTAGACAAAATTAAAAGTAGAGGAAATGCACTAAAAACTGAGGAACTCATTCAATGTAACCTGCTCAATATTAAAACCCCCAGACTCTTGTTTCACTAATTCCCCAAAACACTAAGAGCCAGTTTTATTTTCTGGAATTACTTTCTTTGGGAACTCTGAACAGTGGTTTTAAAAAGACCTAAAAATAGGGAGTGGCACCTGTGGCTCAAAGGAGTAGGGTGCCGGCCCCATATACCAGAGGTGGAAGGTTCAAATCCAGCCCCAGCTGAAAACTGCAAAAAAAAAAAAAAAAAAACACCTAAAAATAGGCCAGGCTAGGTAGATCACATCTATAATCCTAGCACTTTGGGAGGCTAAGACCAGAGGGACACTTGAGCTCAGAAGTTTTAGGTTAAAAAAAATTTATTAGCATAAATTGTTAATATTTTTCCTTTCTCTGTGTCTATTGATGTTTCTTGTATTGTTTTTGTTACTACTATTATTGGGTATATTTCGTAATTAGCCCACCTAATTTTATTTTGTTTGATTGGCCTGGCCAACAATTTTTCTATCATATTTACCTTACAAAGAAATAGCATATTATGACATCAATCTTCTGCATTTTTAAATTCATATATATCTGTCCTTTTCTTTCTTATTTTCCCCCTCCTTGTCTTCTTTTCTTGTTTTAGTTCTATTACTCTTTCAAATCTTTTGTATTAAATGTTCAACTCATTTTTGTCAAAAAGTATTTGGGGGCATATACCTAAGAGGGTAGATGACAATGACTCAGATATTTGCACACTCGTGTTCAGAGCAGCACTATTCACAAGAGCCAACAGGATGGAGGCAACCAAGGGAGACTGGATAAAATGGGATATATGCATATAATGGAACATTATTCAACACTTTTTAAAAAGAGAATTCTAATGTTTGCTATGACACAGATGCCCCTTGAAGACATTATGCTAAGTCAGTCACAGAAGGACAAATGCTAGTGATTACTCTTACATCAAACTCCTACAGTAATCAAATTCATAGAGAAAGTAGGATGGTAGTTGCCAGGGGCGGCAGAAGGGGGAAATGGGGCATTCGTGTTTAATGGGTATAGAGTTTCAGTTGGAGAAGACGCAGAAGTTCTGGAGATGGAGGCTTGTGGTGGCAGTCATTGAACAACAATGAAAATACCATTAAATGCCACAGAATGATTAAAATGGTGCCTTCTCTGTTATGTATATCTTACTATAGTAAAATGTAATTTTTTTATCTTTATTGAACGCTATGTATCCCCTTCAAAAAGGACTTTGCTTTAGCTCTATCACACTATTACATTTAACATGTAAAGATTTTTTGTTGTTTAGCTGTAAATATCATGTATTTTTCTTATGATTTTTAACTTAACCAAATGTTATTTTATAGTGTTTCACTTAAGGTTCCAGTCATTGGGTTTTTAACTCTCCTTTCACTGTGGATTTCTAATTCAATTAAAGAGATGTTTTATATGAATTCCATTTCTTTAAATTTCTATATCTGATCTATTTTGAAGAGTGCATACTCAAAATAATGTTTATTCTTTGCTTTTGGACAAAATTTTATACATTATATATATTCAATCATAGTAATACCTTTTACGTCTTTGTTTATTTTTGTCTGCTTGACCTATGAGTTTTTCAAGAAATTTACCGCAAAAAAGTGCTTCCTACCACCACTCGTATTGTCATTCAGTGTTTCTCGCTTTTACCACAGACTATCTTAAAATCTATCTGTTTCAGTTCTTAATCATTAGGGCTATAATTTCAAGGGAAGAGAATCAACTTTTTAGATAAAAAATTAAATTTGCTAAGTGATTTTCCTCATAGTACAGCCTATATAGCTCATTGCTACTGCCTAAATATCACTCTCCTTTTTCTGGAGTACTTCCCCCGAGAAGTGTTTTCAGAGACTCTTCTGAGGACTTACATACCAAAAAATATACCTATTGCTCCCTCCAACTTGAACAGGTATTTAATATGTACCAACTGGATATATGTTATATATTTAAAGTCTCCTCTTTCAATACTTTAAAAATATTACTCCAATTCCTTTTTGCCTCCAGTGTTGCTGTTGAGAATTCTGATGTCAATCTGATTTTTTAATCTTATACATCATCTGCTCTTTCTTCCTAATCATGGTTAATATTTTCTAATCAACTCAGACACTCTGAAATTTCTTATAAACTCTTTTGGTGTGGCTGTCCTTTTCTTGAGGCTCCTGTTTGCTCCCCTATGAGCTTTTTTCAATAATGAGTTTTCATCTTCAATTCTGCAAAATAATTTGTCATTTTTTTTCTTCAGTTATGTCTTTGCTTCATTTCTTTTCTCTTAATTTTCAGGGGACTATCATCACCTGGATATTGACACTTCTATTCCTCTTCTCTATAATTTTTGCTCTTTTCTACAATTGTGCCTCTTTGTTTTAATGTTGTCTGGAGGAGGTCTTCACCTGGTTTTCCAGATGATCCTGAAGCTGGATCAATTCTACTTTCTGTCTCATTCCTTATGTTCTTTATTTATATCATTATTTTCTCATGCCCAATATTTCTGCTTTGTTCTTTTTCATAACTCTTTCTTTCTACTTTATGTTGCCAATTTTGCCACTTAACCTTTTTTAAAAAGTGTTTAATTATGATTTTTAAAAAGTTACATAAAATATACCATCTTACCCATTTTTATGTATTCAGTTCAGTAGTGTTAAGTATATTCACATTATTAGACAACAAATCTTCAGACCTTTTTCATCTTATATGAAACTCTATACCCACTAAACAACTCTTCATCTATCCATTGTTCTTTCCCACAAGCCCATGGCCAGTTATCATTTGAATAGTATCAATTAAATATATTTAAAGTTCTTAACTGTGTGCTCAGATAATTCTCATTCCTCTAGTATAGGTTGTTCAAAATTTTTATAATTTTTTTTTTGAATTCAGGGAACTTTATTGATGTTACATGACAAGGTGGGGCTCCCTAGGCCCCTCCTGTTCTTTAGGGGGTCTGGGTGGAAACTGTGTTGAGGGGAGATTCACAGTGAGGTGAGGGACTGAGTAGGCAGGGGCACCCCAGCAGCTAAGGGCCTTTCTCTTCCTCTCGTGCTCTGGCTAGGGCTGGTGGTCTGGGGGTTCTTACTCCTTGGAGGCCATGTGGGCCATAAGATCCACCACCCTGTTGCTGTAGCCAAATTCATTATCATACCAGGCAATGAGTTTGACAAAGTGGTCATTGAGGGCAATGCCAGCCCCAGTTTCAAAGGTGGAAGAATGGCTGTCACTGTTGAAGTCAGAGGAGATGACCTGGTGCTCGGTGTAACCCAGGATGCCCTTGAGGGGGCCCTCTGATACCTGCTTCACCACCTTCTTGATATCATCGTATTTGGCAGCCATCTCCAGATGGCAGGTGAGATCCACAACCAACACATTGGCAGTGGGGACACGGAAAGCCATGCCAGTAAGCTTCCCATTCAGCTCAGGGATGACCTTGCCCACAGCCTTGGCTGCACCAGTTGAGGCAGGGATGATGTTCTGGAGAGCCCCACGACCATCACGCCACAACTTCCCAGAGGGGCCATCCACAGTCTTCTGGGTGGCAGTGATGGCATGGATTGTGGTCATGAGTCCCTCCACAATGCCGAAGTTGTCATGGATGTCCTTAGCCAAGGGGGCTAAGCAGTTGGTGGTGCAGGAGGCATTGCTGACAACGCTGAGGCTGTTTTTGTACTTCTCATGGTTCACACCCATCACAAACATGGGGACATCAGCAGAAGGGGCAGAGATGATGACCCTTTTGGCACCCCCCTGTAGGTGAGCCCCAGCCTTCTCCATAGTGGTGAAGACATCAGTGGACTCCACAACATACTCAGCACCTGCCTCACCCCATTTGATTTTGGTGGGATCTTGCTCCTGGAAGATGGTTATGGGATTTCCATTGATGACAAGCTTCCCGTTCTCAGCCTTGACTGTGTCATGGAATTTGCCATGGGTGGAATCATACTGGAACATGTAGACCATGTAGTTGAGGTCAATGAAGGGGTCATTGATGGTGACAATATCCACTTTGCCAGAGTTAAAAGCAGCCCTGCAGACCAGGCGCCCAATCCGACCAAAGCCGTTTACTCCGACCTTGGGTTTCACCATGGTGCCTCGGGGATGCGGCTGGCGCTGCACTAGAAGAAGCGGCTGTCTGACGAACGGGAAGACCAGAGAGCCCAGAATTTTTATAATTTACTTACAGTGAATATCCTTGTTATTTCTCTAATTATTGTCACTGAGGTTCTCATGTTTCCCTGAGGATATCAGTTATTTTGTCTGGAAATGTGTACCAAGGAGTAGCTAAAGCTCACACCCATGATTTTGACACTCCTGATGGTTGCAAAAGATAGAGGGTGTGCATTACAGAGGACACTTGCATGGCTGAGTGGGACCACCCTGTCTGCTGACCCCTCACCAAATGACCATTCACCCTGGGGAACTGCTATAGTTCTACGTTTGTCACTTCTCCTTTCTAAAATCATTCTTTGCTTGCTTGTAACTTTACAGCCTTTGAGGCACGAAGAGGAAGGTGAAATGGCTCAAAGCCTTCCAGTCCACCGGTGGTCATCTCTTCCTTTCAGCAATGTGGGCTTTGCTGAAGTCCATATGCTATGCCACAGGCCCTGCAGCAATGAGTCAACACTGCTGTTTTTCTATTTTATAGTATATGGGTGAGTAACTGAACTTGCAATGTGGCCAAAAGAAGAAGAGTATACATCAAAATGTCTCCCTCAACTGTGTTTCCCATCCTACCTCGGGCTCAAGCTATTATTTTGTCTCACACCATGGACCAACCACCTTTTATCTCTTTAAGGTTTCTTGGTTTTTCTTTAGTTCTTAAGATACAAATATTCTTCTCTCACTTTTATGGCATCTCCCAAATGAGAGTAAGAAGAGCATCGAGAACCCAAGCTCTTTCACAAGTTGTTGAGAAGTTATCTTTCACTAAATCTTTATCACAACAAAAATAAGATAATTCCTGCCTCACAGGGTTGGGTTAAGATTCAGATAAATATGTACCAATAAAACTGGTGAAAGTGGTTTACCAAGTAAAAATAAATGTAAATTATAATAGTTGATATGAGACAAAGTCATCACACTTTAAATAAAATTTTTTCACCCCTCCATACAGTGAACCACAAAACCTATCTTCCTTTCTCCAAATACAACCACTTTCTAAACCACCTGTTGTCACCAGGTTGGGATAGAGGTTGGTCCAAGCCACCCTCATGTCTCATCTAGATTGCTGCTGGAGCTTCCACATTGGTCTCCCTACTTCTGCTGTGGCCCCTGGGGAGTGATCCCGCTAATCTGGTCAGGGAATGTCAACACTGCCCCCAAATCTCCAATAGCTCCCTGTTCCACTCAAAGTAAAATCCAAAGCTCTCACTGCTTACCGGCCCACACTCTGTCCTCATCTGACCTCACTGTCAACCACTTTCCCCTTCATCCATGCCTCTATCATCTTACTGCCCTCTGAGCTGCTGCTCAAACATGCCAGGCCTCTCCAGCCTCAGAGTGTTTGAGGAATATTTCCTATTCCCTCTGACTGAAACCCACCCACATGATTCACCCCTGACTTCCATGTCTTTATGCAAAAGTTCCCAATTCAGTGAGGTCTTTCATGGTCACTCATCCCAGATAATCCATACCTTACTTCCCTGCTGCTTTTTTTTTCCTTTACTATTTTCTTACTCTTGAACACAAATTAGATTTGTTTCTGGGGTTTTTTTGTTGTTGTTTGTTTGTTTTTGTTTTGGGGAGGGGTTTGTTTTTGTTTTGTTTTGTTTGTTTGTTTGTTTTGTGATGCTTCTCAGCCCAAAGTGCAAACTCCGTGAGAGCAGGGGCTTTTGTCTATTTGGCTCACCCTTATATTCCTGTACTCCTGTATTCCCATCTTCTCTCTTAGAAGAGAGAGATGCCTATCCTGTAGTACAAATATGGGTGACTCTAAAGCCAAGGTCTAGAGAGCTGGAATCAGGAAAAATGTCATTGCATACAAAACCAGAAAGGCTGTCATAACAAACTATTTTGTCTGAGTGTAGAGAGGAAGCAACTGCAGCTGCTGTTAAACTCTTTGAGGACTATAGAGAACATAAGTCAATACACCATACGCGCTTGTTTTAATAAGTTGAAGGGTACGAGTGCCACCTAGTGGCAATTCCTTTAAGTGCAAGGCAGAATTTTAGGGAAATAGCTCTCTTAAGGCTAAATCCGGAAAACTAAATAAAGTAGGCGATAGTCTTTCTCAAGTATTAAGAAGTCATAGTTTGTAGAAAACATATGAAAAAATGCTCATAGTCCCTAATTATTAGAGAAATGCAAATCAAAACCACCCTGAGATATCATCTAACCCCAACAAGAATGGCCCACATCACAAAATCTCAAAATTACAGATGCTAACATGGATGTGGAGAGAAAGAAACACTTTTACACTGCTGGTGGGACTGAAAACTAATACAACCTTTTTTGAGGAAGTATGGATAACCCTCAAAGAACTCAAAGTAGACCTCCCATTTGATCCTGCAATCCCATTACTGGACATCTACCCAGGAGGAAAAAAATCCTTTTATTATAAGGACACTTGCACTAGATTGTTTATTGCAGCTCAATTTGCAATCACCAAAATGTGGGAACAGCCTAAATGCCCACCAACCAGGAATGGATTAACAAGCTGTAGTATAATGTATTCCATGGAATACCATTCAGCCATTAAGAAAATGGAGACTTTACAGCCTTTGTATTAACCTGGATGGAAATGGAACACATTATTCTTGGTAAAGGATCACAAGAATGGAGAAGTATGAATCCTATGTATTCAATTTTGATATGAGGACAATTAATGACCTAGTACATGGTGAGGGATGGGAGAAGAGAAGAGCAGAGAGAGGGAAGGAGGGAGGAATGGGAAAGGAAAGAGCAGAAGGAGGGAGGGGGTGAGGTCTCTGTGTGTGACACACTTCTGAGGGGCAACACAATTGTAAGAGGGACTTCACCTAACAAATCCAATCTGTGCAACCTGGTTTCTTGTAACCTCAATGAATCCCCAACAATAAAAAAAAAAAAAAACTCCTTCACAGTGCTCTGTGAGCTGGCGCATCGTGGAGATGTGTAATACAAAACCCATGAGTTATTGGCTAAGATTTTCCTACCTGTTTTTCTGTTGATATTTACTTGATCTGTTATGCTTCTTACAGTCAGCCAACTATTTTAATGTACAATTTGAAGAATTTTTGTAATATTTTCATCACTTAGGCTCTTTACTGGCCACCCAGACCTCTCTTCATCAGTGACACTTTCTCTACTCTCAGAAAAAAAAATTTTTAATCCATTTGTACACTTCTGTTATCTCCATGGAATTATCCCTATAAAGTTGGATTAACTTGTCACTAATTTCACTTCCACTCTTGCCAAGTTTAACAAGAAATTTAGTGTATGTTGATCTAATCAGGCTCCAACATTCTCAAGATGGCACACAATAACAATAATGAACACCACTCAGCAAGATACCACCAAGTGTTGACACAAACATGACTGTCAAACACTGATATACCATGGTTATGGAACCTTACTGAGTTGTTTATACAGTGCTACTAAGGTAAGTGCAAGGTGGCAAGTTCAAGAACTTAATTGTCAGACCTCCATAGGAGCCAGCTTGAAACTCTCCCATTGCACAAATACAGGATAATTTTGCATGAATAGTATAACAATAAATAAAATTAATGAATTATACATTATAAATTAAAGAATTATATGGTGCAATAACAATGAATTATATAATTCTGTAACTATATGGAATTATAGCATTATATAGAATTCCAAATAATTATACTCTTAGAATTACTTTTTTTCAGATCGCTCTTCCTCTTCCACAAGCGGCCTGAGGTGATCTGTGAAAATGGTTCGCTATTCACTTGACCCAGAAAACCCCACAAAGTCATTCAAGTCAAGAGGCTCAAATCTTCGTGTTCACTTTAAGAACACACATGAAACTGCCCAGGCCATCAAGGGTATGCATATACGAAAAGCCACCAAGTATCTGAAGGATGTCACCTTAAAGAAACAATGTGTACCATTCCGACGTTACAATGGTGGAGTTGGTAGGTGTGCCCAGGCCAAACAGTGGGGCTGGACACAGGGTCGGTGGCCCAAAAAGAGTGCTGAATTTTTGCTACATATGCTTAAAAATGCAGAAAGTAATGCTGAACTTAAGGGTTTAGATGTAGATTCTCTGGTCATTGAGCATATCCAAGTGAACAAAGCACCCAAGATGCGTCGCCAAACTTACAGAGCCCATGGTCGCATTAACCCATACATGAGCTCCCCCTGCCACATTGAGATGATCCTTACTGAAAAGGAACAGATTGTTCCCAAACCAGAAGAAGAGGTAGCACAGAAGAAAAAAATATCCCAGAAGAAACTGAAGAAACAAAAACTTATGGCACGGGAATAAATGCAACATAAAATAAATGCAAATAACTGTCAAAGGAAAAAAAAAAAAGAATTACTTTTTTTCAAATAACATATAAAGTTAAAAGTCTATATTGAAATTAATAAATATAGGAAAGTTCTTACTTACCTTATAAAGCAACCATTGATGTTGAAGAAGTGATAAAATTTAAAAATGACTGCTTTGCAACTGTCATCATAATTTGTAACTTGTTTAAATGAGAATCATCAATGATTGCTAAAATTAGTAGGTGAAATTATAATGATCAAGAGAGTATTTGCATAGTCTTAAAGTTTTTCCCAACAAATTGCTTTTACTTACAAAGAAGGAAATAGCAACTTTAAAGTTGATTTCCTCAACCAAGTGATGAAATCTAACATCACCAGTAATGAGACAAACCAATGTCATGTACCCCTTATCCTGAGACACTGAGAAAGACACAACATCATTTTTGTGTTTTTCAAAAAAATTCATAAGCTGAATCTAATTGTGCAGAAACCTCAGACAGACCCAAATCAGGAGAAATTTTACAAAATAATTGGCATGTTCTTCCAAAATGTAAAGGTTATGAAAGACAAAGAAAGGCTGAGGAACTAGTCCAGATTAAAGGAAGCTACAGGTGCATAACTCTGGATTGGATCCTGGACAAGGAAAAAATAATTCCTCTATAAAAAGCATTATTGGGACAACTAACTAAATGTACAAGTGACTATAGATTAGATAA